ACTACACCTCAGCAACTCAAGTCTTTGTTCCAGCTCCTTTGCTGACATGTGCATCATGTCTATTCATGAGCTGCTTGTAAGATCTAGAGACAAGACCTGTCTCAGCTTCGGCCCTGTGTGCACAAACCCAAGATGTGTGTTTAGGTGTGTGTCCCAGACAGAGAATCAAAGCACACATCACAAACTGTTTCTTGGATGATGGATGATGATGGATGAAAGCACTAATGCTTCTGGATGAGAGCGGCAGGCCACTATGTTGCACTCAGTCGCAAGCTTACATCATTTCAAAAACTGTCTGTATGCACATGCATAATATTACCTTAACCCCACTGATAGCATCAATAGTTAAGGCAACATGCACTGCTGAGATAAGAAATTATTCTTGGGGATTAGAGCTTAGAGCTTAGTTATTTGTTGCTACTTTATGTGCTCAAACATTCTTCTCTTCTAGTTCAGGACTTATTTAGACACATCCAGCCAAACATTGCATCACCTGACAGTTTTCATCTAACATATGATCACTCCAACAGTTTATTTCAGCATTGGACTCTTTTGTTTTATGAGGTGCATTAACTTGGAGAGTGCATGTGGTGAGGAAAAGCTGTGTAAACATCTGGACAGACCGCAAAACGGAGGGTTACTGGTGCATGCATTCCTGAGGGGTCTAAGGGTTCTTATGAGTCGGTGGGTAATAAGAGGTGAAGTGTCTGCTGGTGGTACACCGACGTGTGAGTGACTGTGTTTACCATAAAATGTCTCTCACAGTGTCATTACTCTGGAAATGTGTAGCATGTTCGTATTTTTAAATGTCAAATTTCCAGTTGTGGAAGAGAGCTATTTACTTTGAGCGAAGAGTGAACATGGCACGAGAGTACCATTTTATGGTGTACATTTATTTAAACAAAAAGCACAAGTAAGATTCAGTAAGATACTAATTAATAATAGTTTTACAGACTTTTTGGAAAATACAAGTTAGTTAAGAAGATTGATACCATTCTCATGTTTGTCTCTTGTCTGACGCTAGAGCCAGCTATAGACGCTCTAGCCTATTTTAGCAAAAAGACAGGAGGCAGGGGAAAACAAATATATTGACTTTGTTCAAAGTAAAAAAATATTCCTACTAAGAGCCCTAAAGCTCTCTAATTGTGGATTAAATAAGCAATATTTGCCTGGGTTAGCATAAAGACTGGCAGCAGGGGATAACAGCTAGTCCGGCTAGATGAAACCAAAAAGTAATGGAAAGAAGATAATTTGTGCTAATCAGTGAGCTTTGGAGGTGCTGGAAGGTGTTGTTTTTTTTGCTTTGGACAGACCCAGGCTAGCTTTTCCTCCCTCCGGTCCATGTGCTTAACTACTCTTCACATAACAGGATTAGGACAGTATCCTCAGGCGACAGAGAAAGCCTAAAATATAAGTTGTCGAAAACCTCCAAATACACACACCTATGGTCATGGACTCACTAAAATTTCTCTAGGTTTCACTTTGTCGTTCACTAGTGAACTCCACATCTGTCTGACAACAGGAGGAGGTAATAATCATAATGAGATATGTGACTACAGTAGTCATTATAATCCATACATGAACAGGAGGGAATATTAAATAATTTTCTAGGGAAATTAAATTAAATCCTTACTTTCCAGGGGCGCCTCTGAAACCCTTTAAGGACCCTGGAAGTTTGAAAAACTAGCTTGAGAACAGTGAGGGTTTGGCAGCAAACACCAACCAACGTGGGAAGCAGATTTCATATCATCTGCTACAGGATTACAGAAACAGATTTAATTCAGCATGGGACCTGGACATGCAAATTATATCAATTCAAATAACTTTAAATTGCTAAGAAAGACAAGATGTTATGCATAGATTGAATCATGACACAGGATAAAAACACTAGTGAACTTATTGTTGTCCTGGCTGCTACAAATCAAGATAACAACAGAGACCAATGTGCTTCTGCTACATAAACTTCAGCAAACTTCATACAACCATCTCTATTTCAATTTGCTTTAATAAAACTTTTGTTTTTTTTATTCATCCCACAAGCAGTGAGAGACTATTATCAACTATCCATAAAGTCAGTTAGCCTATATCGTTAAATAGTTTGAGTAAGTATGTATTTTAACATAAAAAAGCTCATATTCAACTGCAGCTGTCATGTCCCCCCCTGCCGTGACACCTGCCTAAGTGAAATCTGGTACAAGAGTGTGTTTAGATTTATTTAGACTTTTTGGATGGATGCTGCGTGCTTGGTGTGTTTTGATTTTGTCTGTCTGTGTTGTTCCCTCTTTTCTGCTCAGTGTGGAGATGATGCGTCCTCTGGCTTTCCTGTGTTGGCAGTCTCACTCACAATCACCACTCACGCACCTGTCCCTCATCACACACAATCAGCCATGCCTTCATAAGGACAGACCAGCCTTCCTGTCTCTGCTGGATTGTTGTGTCATTGGTATGTGTTACTAACTGGATTACCTTGTCTTCAGTAACTCACCGCCAGACCTCTTGCTCTGAACACCCACCCAGCTCACTATGCCTGCCTTTGAACTCACTGGATCATCATGAAACACCTGCCTCACCCGCCTGCCAGCCAACCCCTGCCAGCATGCTTTGGACTCTGAACTCAAATCAAACCCCAGCCCCACTCACCAGCCACTCGTTCAGTTTCAGTTTTTCATTTATTCTGTTGTTTCAAATAATAACCTTTTCACACCTACACCAGTCTGCTCTTGGGTTCAGATTCTGATACCTGACAGCAGCATTAATGTTATTATTTATTTAATAACCGCACCATCCTCTCATCCTCACAGTCCACCATTATTTTATTTACTGTATGAATTCCTTCTGAAGACCTTTATCTTAGAGTTGAGAGGGTGAAACACATCATGTTGTGTCTGTCGGGTGACATTATAAGACGATGTACTAAGGAAAATTCCACTCATTTTATAATCTCAGATATGTTATTATTGTACCCCAAGGGGGTTCACACAATAACTTCATGCACTATTCCACTGCCAATGCAGCAACCTATAATTTTGTGAAGTTAAAGGTCAATTCTCCTGCTTCTAGCTTTCGGAAATATCTGTGTTCATTACAATTGAAGACTGACATTCCCTTCAGTGGATTTTTACACAAGGACTTGCAGTACTAAAGTAAAATGCCAACAATATTCCTCTAGTGGAGTAGGATGTTCTGACACCCTGGAGAATCAGACGGGGAATAGTTCCCCCATCTTATCAGACATGCTGGTCATGACCTGTGAGAAACATTTATACTGTGAAAATCAATACAGAGCAGCAACAACAACATCAGAGGTTTGAGAGGAAGCAGAAGGGAGCGATGTTTGGCATTACTTTAATAAGCCTTTATCTTTAAAAATGTAGAAGAAACACCAGCACATGTTAGCAAAAGCTGGAGCACCACGCACACACATACACAAACACACCTCCCACGCAAAAGCAGTATGAAAGCAGTAACAAGAGCGGCAGAAACACTTGTAAAACCATCAGCAGGACTGACAGCAACCACCGAACAAATCACAAAGACAAATACTGAAGCCCTCCTCCCCCACAGTGCCAACTAACTCCCCCTCCTCCCCCGCAGCCTCAGCATCATTTCTCAAGTGAAAGTATATGAACTAAACCTTGAGGCACTCTTAGATTGTTCCCCATAAACAAAGTCATTGTGCTGCACATCAGGCGTCCCAGAGCCCATCACCTTCTTCGTGAGGGTCGGCCAGATAGCCCAATGGAAAATTTAACAGTTGTTTCACAGGCTAGAGTAAAACTCCCAGACAATTCTCCAGTTTAAAACATTTCATCATTTGAAACAGTCAAAGTGTAAACAAGACAGTGGCATTCACAAAAAGTGTGTAGAACACTTGTATAAAACACAGGATGTCAAATATCTATTCCTGTGCCAAAAAACAATTTGTAACTATGGCACATCCTCTGCTTTAAATCACCAGGCAATTTAGAAAGAGAAAGCCAGTACTCTCCTCTGAACCTTGCAGAATTGTGGCTCTTTGTCCCACTGATGATCCCCCACTGACATCCTGCAAGACCTGGAGGTTTTTCACCAGAGCAGAGAAATCAGCAGTATCCACTCCCTCTCAGAAAAAGATTGTTCTGTTATCGATCTGCCGAAATGGAACATGAAATTAAAACAATTTAAGGAAAGAAAAGTTCTAACAAAATTGGTGACATTGATCCTGTAATTGAGGGCCAAGACGGCCATTCAGACAGGGCCGGTCTAAGCTTTCATGGGGCCCTGGGTGAGATTTTTGCTTTGGGAATCTCCTTTTTTCATATCTTACCTCCCAATCATTGCCCCACCTTTTCTGAAACCATTGACATCATAACAAGTATTGAGCTTTCAAAACAAAACGTCTTTTCGGTTTTTCAAAAGAAGTGTCACCTAAATACATATATTTGTTGTTTTGTGTAGCTCTTGGAAGTGGTTTAGAATTTGCAGTTACATCCCTATCTCTCTCTCTTAACCCCAACACCTACCCATGCCAAATTTCTGTCCAACACATTATCACTCCCAACTCCTCACATTTGGACCCTTGATCAAGACCCCTTGAAGTCACTTTTTAACACCCTGGGTACCCCTTTAGCAACTTATAGGACTCTGCGGTCGAGTTAACAACAATAAATATGCAACATCTGGTTAGAGTTTCAAATAAAAGTAGGCCGACTTGTTAACACTACGAAACGTCTCAATTTTGAAATGGTGCATTGTTAACATAGTGAAAACTATTGTGTTAAAATAACTGTTACATATGTGACTTAACTACCACCTCACCATCGTGCTCGACCTCACTGCACCCTTCGATACCATTAACCACTTCATTCTCCTCACCCGTCTGTAAACCTACTCCAACATCACTGGCGCTGCACTCTCCTGGCTCGATCTTATCTTGCCAACAGACAACAGTTCATCAACATCAACAACTGTACCTATTCCATTGCTCCTCTTTCACAAGCGTCCCCCAAGGTTCAGTGCTTGGTCCTCTTCTGTTCATCCTCTACACCCTGCCACTTAGATATATCATACTTAAACATGGTCTCCGCTTCCAATGCTTTATTATTATTGTTGTTGTTATTGTTGTTGTTGTTATTATTATGTCCACTTTATATTTCACACTGAAACAAACACCGGTCTCTGGGGTGAAAGTCAAGTTTCTAACCGACCCACCTACCTAAGACTTTCCCAATATTTAGCAGTGAGCAATGACTCTAAAGGTCTTACCCTGCTCTGAATGGTGACACAAGGGGTGCCATGCCAGGGGGCCAGACATTGAAGGACCTAACAAAGCATGCCTTGGAAATGAGAAGTGGCTAAAGGTGAGGCATAAAACCAAAACAATAAGCTGAAAGATTCTAAAAAGCTCCATAAGGTGAGGGGATAAGTAAGGGGATAATTTCGTGTGGGTTTGTCCTCATTTCCATGATTCTTTCCATGGCCACTTTGCCTTTTAGCTCTATTGTCACTTTGAAAATTACAATTTAAACTAATTTTCTCAGTTTAGAGGGAACCTGGAGTCACCCCCACCTTGAAGCTACAGATAAGACGGCCTATTCATGTAGTGCTTTGGCTAAGTTGTACAGTGACAGTCGTGAGTTGAATGAGATGAGGGAGAGAGATGGGGAGAGACAGAGAGAGAGAGAGGGAGTGTAGGCCTACGTGTGAAAGAGAGATAGAGAGGGAAAGAGAGCTCCTCAGTTGCCTTAGCAGCGCAGCTCCATTCCTTCACAGTCGGGCTTCAGTCCGGAGCAGTGAGCGCTGCGCTGCGCTTCACCTACACGACTTCACCTTAATTAACCAGTCACAGTCCGGTTGTTCTCCAGGTATTCCGCGGTGTTAGATTTTTTTTTAATTTGTAAACTCCAGTTTGGGCTTTCTCCAAGTTTCACAACGCCCTCTCTGCGGCTGTTATGAAGAAAAAGGCGACGGTGGCAAGTTGATTCCAGTGCGGCTCCAGGTTTAAACAGCTCTGCAAGGTGTAATAACGCTCCTGACGGTCGTCCTTGTCACCAGAGAGGATGGCTCTGCAGGCGGGGAATGAGAGTGTTGTGGAGGTGTCGGCGGGCTGCGTGGAGCAGGGCAACCTCACGGAAGTTACCGACTATAATATCAGCTGTACGAACAGCTCTGTCCTCCCCAGACCGGCCACCAAGAGCAGAGGTAAGATTTCCTATTCTCAGGTCTTATCCATCAAGCTGCCTCTCATGGCTCATCAACGCTGCAGGTGTTAAACTGTATTTATGCTTCAGGTGGCATCCAAATGGTTCCATCAGGCAAAAGGCAACAGCTGGCTCCAAACAGATGTTTTTTTTTTAAAAAGAAGGTGTTAGGCTACTTATTGTTTTTTTGTTGTTGTTAAAATTATTATCAGGATTTGTCATTCTTTCCCTTCTTTCTGTTGGCACTGCAAACAAATAAACTATTTCTTATTTCTTCATATAAACAAGTCTGACTAATTTATTGGACAATGTTGCCTCTAATTACAAACTGCCACCTATGACTGATTACCTGCTTTAACATGTAATCAGTGGACCCAGTGTAATTTGATCAGATATTAAATTGGATTTTTTGTTACACAAACAAAATGCACTTTTACCTTCTAACCATCACTGATTTTCCTCATTTTTCAACGGCCTGCCCGAACACTGTTTTGCATAAAATGATTTGCAATCAGGAGTTTTGCTTAAATCAAGTTCTTCAGTCTCTGTATGCAATCAATCACCATGCAGCCCCCAAATAGCTGCCGCTCCTCTCTCCATCAATAATGCCACTATCAGAATGAGCAGCTGTGTGTGTGTGTGTGTGTGTGTGTTTGTGCGCGCAGTGTGAGAAGCCATGGTAATTCTGAATGTTTATTTTTCTTGCTTATAATTCTCAAAATGCTGACTACCCCTTGAGGAGATTAAACCCCACACCAGGGGAGATAAGTCTCCCGAGCTCTGTCTATCGGGACACCAGTGGAAAAGGGCTGATTGGGTAATGAAGTCTGAACGTGGGCGAGAGTTTCCTTTCTAATCCCCCTGCCAGTGGTGCAGTATCGAGAAAATTTCAAATCTTTCCCCAATAAATAATTCACATGCGTTCCTTTCGTCTGTGCTGCATTACTTTTATTGACCTTATACGGGAGGCAGGCTGTAACATCGTCAGCAGTATAGGCTTCATTAGAGAGCAATCAAACCCTGTGGGCTTGTGTTTCAGTGTTTGACAGAGGGAATGTCCTGCCTCCTTCTCATTCCCTCTGTCACATGCACGTGAGGCGCTTTTTATTTACCGTAATCCTTAGGGGATCTATTCTGTCTCCGCTGTCTGCCTTTAGGCCAAGGGAGAGCAATGGAGCCTGATTATGCAGCTGCATTATTGGTCTCTCAGATGCTCCAGCCCCGGGACAGGAAATGAAAGCCCCGCTCCACCTGCCACTTGTGGAATTACCTCCGTCCGATACCTTGAATTGGATATTTTGTCCTTTGCTTGCACAAGGACTAAGCTTCTGATGCAGTCATAACTGTTTTAAATCTGAAAAAAGGCTTCTTTTGTTGGTTATATTGGAAAAAATTAGCATAAATCATTATTTTCAGCTTTTTTATAAAATGGACACTTATAAATGAGCCAGGGCTGCACTAATTATTCTTTCCATTATTGATGAATTATTTTCCTGATTAATCGATTACTTAATATTCTATACATTAATATAATGAATAAGGCCTATTATAATTATGTAAGACCCAATGTATTCTCACCAGATGTCTTGTTTTTTCTGACTATCAATAAAAAGCTTAAAGATATTCCGTTTTTTTATTACATAAGATAAAGAAAAGCGTCGAATCCTCACAACAGAGAAGCTGGAACCAGGAAATGTTTGTCATTTTGAGAGGAAAAACTTGGAACGCATGGGACTTAAGGCATGCATTTTGTTCTCTTCCTGTACTTCAAAGCTCCTGGGCAACAAAAATCTTTAAGATATGTATCTATATATAGCTCTAGTTACATGACTCTTATGTACTTAAGAGTGCTGATCATATTTCAAACAATTTATGTGCATGTATGTATGCTCCATTACACTGCTACCAGCAGTACTGTGAGGTTTGCGAACATTGCGTTCAAAAGAACGAATCTTCTGGGTGAACCAACTGAACTGAATCACTCCACCCTAAAGCCTAAGCCCTGAACCCTCACAGACTTAGCTGACGTCACCTGGTAAGTGCTTGAGTGCGAGAGGCTTCTCTTTGCTTTCTTCACAGCCGAGGCACTGAAGAGACCGACTGTCTGGTTTGAACATGTTCCAGAGTAAATTCATTATTTGAATATTACCTGTGGACAAGAGGTAATTTCCAAATAAGCAGTTTACTCGTTTTTATCAGAGCAGCATCATACACTTACATGTAAACTTTTTTTTTTTTGTAGTTGCCCCTTCCATGTTTGTTTTTTAACCCCTGCTTCTCATGTTAACACCATGTTTAACGTCACAACACTATGAACTGTGGGTAATTCCCTCAGGCAAAGTCTGCAGGGATGCGGACTTACAGAAAGAGTGCAATTAGGGCTCAAAAAGTCTGCGAGAGAGCACTCATGCACATGACGATTTGACAGTGGGACAGCCCTAAGCCCTCACGGACTTGCCCCAAGCGTGCCTCAAAGTTCTGAGATCCCTGTGATTGGGATTCAGCCGGTCAGTTGCAAGCGAACGTGCAGGGATACTCTCACTCACTGAGCGTGCGATTCAAGTCATTCAGTTCACAGAGGGGAATAGGGTGTGTTCAAGACTGCAAATGCACAGCTGATTCAGGTTGCTAACATTTAGCTGCAATGATTCAACAACATTAATGTAACATTATCTGCATTAAACATGGGGTGAAACCTGCAGTATGAACAAACGGGTGGCTAAGTGTGAGCGTGTCTCAGATCCAGATCCAGCATGTTCAGTGATTTGTTCACTGAACATACACAATGAAGGTGTGCCCCCCTGAATGATAGACAGCCACTAAGTCTCTCAACTTCGCCCATCTCATTGCCTCTCGTGTCTTGTCTTGAAATAGGTAGTACCAAATACTTTGTTTAATAATTAGGCGTCTCAAAAATATATGTGTTATATAGGGAAGACTTCATAGCAGCTTTCAGTTTGCAAACGGTATCTTTATCCAACAAAATCCTCAGCTCTCTGTCTTATCCTTCACAAACGACCGTCTCAGTTCACTAGTTAGTGAGCTGAACTGAAAGTTTGGGATTTTGCAGTCGGAGTGCACTGAATGATTCGGTGAACAACTCTTTAGAACAAATCTTTTTAATGAAGTAATTATAATAATACCATAAACTGGATATAACTACTTTGCCTATCATTAGCTGCCACCCCTGCCTGAATTATTTTGCTTTCCTTTTTCTTACTCTGCTATTACTGTTACTATACATACTGTAGAGGTTTTCAAACTGTGATGCTTCAGGGAGGTGTAGGAAAGTGGCAAAGTGGAAGGGGGTTGCAGAGGGAGCGATGTGAAGCAAAGATGCTGTCTGAGGGGAAAGATTCAGGTGCTCATTCTCAGTTATAACTCATATCTGAACACACAGACATGATAAATGTCCATATACGCACTTCGAAATCAGATTAAAAACGGTCCTTTATAAATCCAGAGCTTGCCTGAGAATCATCACGTTTTTTCTTCAGTGTCAAAGTAATCTAGTGGTAGTTGTCTGTAGTCTACATCCATGGGTACAATGCAAAGAGGAACTGCTAATAGCTAATTCTGCAAACTGGCATTTTTTAAAAATGTGAACATTGTAGAAATTGTAGAACTAAAACTCAGAATGTGAATCCTCCTGAAATATAAATGACCAAAATATAATTATATTCTTTGGGATCTGTATTTACATTCAGTTCATTTTGGAGACTGTTTTCTTCCATCTTGTGTCTGCAGTGTTCAAAGGAGCAGCTGTAAAACCCCCGCAGCACCAAAATGAAACAACCCCTGACATACATCACATTATAGTAATCATTCAGGACCCTGGAGAGCAGTTCAGTTCAGACACATCTGTATCTGCACCTTGGCTCGTCCCGGACACACTCCCCGATGATTCAAAGTGACACTTTGCTGAGCTCACCCTGTCCTTTTGAGTTCATGTGAGATAAGTTATCATCAAGTGGATCTCATAAGCATTAAATGAACACTGTTTCATTTTCAGAAACCAGCCAGTCCCCCTGGGCTCTGGGTAAAAACAAGACTAGTTACTGCAGCAGGGACTGCTCAGGAGTTCCTCAAATCTAACCAATTTCTAAGACGAGGTCTCTTGTAGAAGAAAAAATCTTGTTCCCTTTGGGTATGTACACTGTGATGTAGATGGTAGATGTAGTCATGACATGATCACGGTAATCAGAACAAATAATTGGAAACATCTGAAGTGACCTGGTGAGGCAGAATAAACAGCACGCACAGGCAGGCACTGAGTGTACAAAATATTTGGTGCATCCTCCTTCCTGATAATGAGCTGCTGCCTCTTGTGCACAATCCATATCCCGCATAATCTTTCTGTGTTAGTATACATTCAATAGGGAAAATCAATAAGTCTGTTGCTTTTATATGCATTTATTATTGTCAGTTTGCTACATAGAGTACGACAGCACAAATGAAGATCCTCGCAAACATGTGCAGAACTCCCTCGACCATGTAATAGCTGTAATGGTCTGCACACTGACTTTATTAACTGCCTGTAGCAGAGGAACGGAGGTAGGCAGAGCGATGCATTTGATTACTTGACTATTTTCCTCAACGGTTAATCCTAAGTCATGTGACTCGCAAGTGTTGTTGAAGTGGCAAAGCAAAGGAAGTTTAACAATTTTGAAATAAATGATCTGTAATTTTTGGTTTTTACTCTGTGAAGTCTGAATCTCACAAAGTTTAAGGTCTCTTCAGTCCTGGGTAAGTCCAATCAATAGTTGCGCGGCATTGTGTTCCCTATGGAAACTCCTCACTGGTGGTGGTGCCTCACTGCTGGATTTGTTTGCATAGTGATTTATGGGAATCAAGTGGCAAACACCTCGGCTGAAAGTTTAATTCCATGGGGAAATCCCTTAAGATGCAGCTCTTCTAATTACTACGAGGCGCTGGTTCCAATGAATATATTGAAGCGAATGGGGAAAATCTCATTTAATCAGTTTCAACAGATGAGTATAA